CACAGCCTTGCTTGCTGAAAACGAAAAGGGCTTGAAACTCGCAAAGTCCATTCTAACTCATGACCACTCCATGCAGGGTTACTGAGACAAAATCTTTATAGGAGCAGACAGCATCATGTTTTTCCCATGGAGCAGTTGGTGGGTTTGAACTGCCAACCTTGCAGTTAGCAGCCTAATACCTAACAGCATTGTCAGGGCTTTTCGTGCTGAAGATTAAAGATTGCAGCCTCCAGTATAGATTGTAACTCAATGTAAAGGAAAGAGAAAGCCTCACAACTGCACCCAAAACAAAACCCACCAACCTCATTGCTATTGAGTCCATTCTGATTCAGAGTGACCCTATAGGACAGGGTAGAACAGCTCATGTGGGTTTCCAAGACCGCAACTGTACAAGCAGAGAAAGCCTTGGTGATTAGCAGCTCAACATGTCACCACTATGCAGTGACAGGGGACATTAAGATAAGCCGAAAAGACAAGTTCTTTCTACTTGCATCCGTGATCAGCTCTCAGGCAAGTAAGCAAGCCAACGTTAGTCAAGAAAACAAAGTACTTGTTGCAAAGGTGTGACTTTGAGGACTAATGTGAGTCAAACCAGTATTTTTTCAATTGCCTCATATGCATGTGAAAACTGGACAATGAATAAAGGAGACAGGAGAAAATTTGATGCATGTAAATAACAATGTTTGCTAAGAATATTGAAATTACTGTCAGAGCAACAAACAAATCATTCTTGGAAGAAATGTAACCAGAATGAGCCTTAGAAGAAAGGATGGGGAGACTTTATCTCACATCCTTTGGGCGTATTATCAGGAGAGACCAGCCCTTGAGAATGACATAATGCTTGACAGAGGGTCAGACTCTCAATGAGGGGGTTCCAGCTTCACAATTGTGGCACAGGACCAGGCAGAGTTATGTTCTGTTTCTAGAGAGAGTTGCTATGAGTAGCAACCAACTCAAGACACCAACCAACAATGTGTGTCCAGAAAGGATCGCTGGTGACACAGTGGTTAATCACTCAGCTGCTAACCAACATTCTCCAGTTCAAACTCACCAGTAGCAACTCTATAGAAAACAGACTTGGAGCCTGGTGGGGCAGTTCTACTCTGCCCTGCCTGGTTGCTACGAGTGGGAATTGCCTGGAAGGCAATTTGTGTGTCTAGAATAAACACATTCCAGGCAAATTCGAAGACTGTGTTACAGAAGAAGCAAATCTTCATCCTCTTTGTACCAGAACTGCAAAGTGTGGCCTGATGGTTTTTATATTAATTTTATATTGTTTCTATTGAAGCAAAGTTCTATGAAACTTTGTTGCATTCAAAGATATTTAGATCTAGTAAACATTTAGCTAGGAGCCCTGGTGGGGCTTCGATCCACACAGTCACATTTTGAAACCCCCAGCTGCTCTGGGGGAGAAAGACGGGATGTTCTAGTCCTGTCCACAGTGACAGTCTCAGAAACGCACCGTAGGGTCATTAGGAGTCAGTATTGACTAGAGGTCAGTGAGTTTGAGTCAACCTTTGTTAAGCAGCAATGTGTAGTGGTTCAGTATACCTTCTGGTTGAGACTTCTGGGGTTTGAATCCTGCTGCTGCTACTTTTTCCCGTCTCTGTGACATTGGGCAAGTAGTGTCAGCTTCCTCTGCTTCACCATGGTACCAATCTAATAGAGTTGTTGAAAGGGTCTTTGCTGTGTTTTTAGGTGCCAGCAAGATGATTCCAATCTTAGCAACCCCATGCAAAACACAGCCAGTATGTGAGATGAAGTCTACTCATCTTCACTTCTAAGCCGGATCACCAAACCCAGATTCACTGCCTCTGAGTTTATTCCGACTCACACAGCCCTACAGGACTGTGTGATAGAACTGCCCCAGTGGGCTTCTGAGACTGACACTCTTTCCTGGAGTAGAAAGCCTGATCTTTCTCCCTCGGAGCCACTGGTGGTATAGAACTGCTGACCTCGAGGTTAGCAGCTCAACGCGTAACCACTACCCCACCAGGACTCCCTTCTAAGCTGGATTAAATGAGTTAAAATATATGAAGTGCTTAGTGCACAGTATCAGCTGCTGTTGATATCCCCGGTATGTCAGAATAGAAACTTGTTTTCCACTAACTGTCTTGGAAGTAAATCATTTTATTAGAGGTGTTTCTGCATAGATTGGAACATCCAAACTTTCCATTATCAACTAAATATTAATCCTTTGTATCACTCACAGACCACCCAAACCAACAGGAAGCCGAACTGCTGCCATTGAGTAAATTCTGACATAGGACAGATTAGAATTGCCCACTTTGGATTCTCAAGGCTGAGAGTCTTTACAGGAGCAGTAAGCCTCGTGTTTCTTCCTCTGAGGTGCTGGTGATTTGAACTGCTGACCTTGTGGTTAGCAGTTCAACACATAATCCACAGTGCCTCCTGGGCTCCTTCTCAGGTCACCAAATGCATAGTAGATAATAAATACCAGCCATTACCATTGCATGACAACATCATCAATATTGAATGTCTATTGTGTTAATGCTTCCCCAAACTTTTAGCATCGCAGATATATTGAAAAGGATACTACTACTATAGCAAGGGGGGTTGGGTGGGGGTGTCAACCAAAGGGGCTCATTATTTCAAATCACACCAGCCTGCCTTGGCACACTGATAAGGAAAACAAAGGAATGAGATAGCCCTTTTGTGGATATTCTTGTATTGGCTCAGTTCAGCACCTACCTCTAAGAACCTCACATTTTATAGGGTCACTCAAAGCCCCAGACTTAAGGAGTGAATCAATA